ATGAATCAATTTTCTTGTTTCTTTTTTCACGTGAAAAGAGAGAAAATGCATCAGCTAAGTAAAAAGTGCAAGAAGCATTTGGACTGTTTCAAATAAATATTGGAAGAGCCAACGAGATAGTGTTGAGAAATCAAAAACGAAAATGACAAAAAGAAACTGAAAATACATAAAGATTATGCTTTGTAAAATGGACTACTAATCAATATGGTTGCCTCGTGGTGTAGCCTGCTTGATTTGTACTGAGCTTGGAACATAAGGGCACACAAGTACTGGGTCACCATGTTCGTCACTAGATTCTCCAAGATCCACTTTTTTTAAATATCCATCCTCTCCAATGACATAAGCAAGGCAGCGCCTCGGCTTCTTTCTGTCTTTAGCAAAAACTACGACGACTTTCTTCCTCACGTCAACAAAAAAATTCCCATGTTTAAATGGGAAAGTAAGAAGTGTTTTCATATTCACTGCTACTAACAACTTGTTCCACAACACCGCTTCGGGCTCAATTTTGCTACTAATCCATATCTCCATCTGTAATGTATCATACCGCTGACATAACACTGAAAGTTGCTCTTCTCTAGCACTAGATAGAGTCACGCTATCGCCAAAGCGAGATTTAAACGGTAGACGTAGACGTGGTCCAAATATCTCCGTTGTAAAATCAAAACAGAGTAAAAAGATCTCAGGGATAGTTCTTACTTGTTCTTGAACTCTTCCGTATCTTGCTTGTCCTCCGAATCTTACGCATCTTTCTTGACCTCCAAATCTTTCTTGTGCTCCGAGTCTTACTCGTCCTGCGCATCTTTCTTGTCTTCCGAATCTTAGTGGCTCCCAGTTAATAGCCCTTCGAACAAGCCAATAAGTATTTCCCTTGAGAGACACGTCATGTCCATAAAACCTTATGTCCCTGTTGGGAGTCACATCAATATCATTCCATGAATCAGACTTAAAATTGTAGATTTGATACTCATGACGTTTCCCACAGATTTCATAATCATCTACAAATATCGGCTTCATTTCCATAGACCTCAAGATTTTGTGGCAACGACGACGCGAGTTCTCCTTCTTCTCGTATCCCAGAGCGTACATGTTAACCCTACAGTCGCCTCCGTGATCAATGGGTTGGATCCACCTTGTTTGTCCACGATAAGGGTTCAATACCACAAGCCTCGAGTTTTCTTCTTTGGTGGTGCATAACAACAAACCACTACAGTGGAAGACGCTAGATATATCAACTCCATCTACATTGTTTAGGCTAATAAATTTACCTTTTCGGTTTATAAATGATTCAACGTTGTCGTTATTGTGAATCCCACGGAAATTAACACTCATTAGATAAACACTAGAATCGATCATCATGATTGCCATACACTCTCTCTTCTTCGTTGCTGCTCTTGATTTGCGAATGTGCTTCCTTGTAAAGCTCCGAGTTTTGAATAAACTGTTCCAGTTTTTGCAAGTAGTTCGCACTGCTCTAAGAGATGTTAACGGAACCCTAGAGAGCACTTCCTCTACCATATCTTGTGGGAGATCGGAAATCGCCGTTGTTGAATCCGTCATCTCCAAGTTAGGTCTAAGCTTCGACAACTCTTTTTGTACCTTCGGCTGTAAACAGTGAAAACGTCTCGTTGAATATATAGAAACCTGATGGGCCAATAGTGGGCTTGATAATCTTAGTGGGCTTCTTAATGTCTGTCCAAGACATGAAGTTCATCGCGTTACATTGTGGATGAGAGAGTTTTGTTTAACCAGTACATTAAATTCTGTCTTACGTTACATAATCGGTAATTGTTCAGCTCGATGATATATGCAAACGCATTTCCAAGAACACCAGCCTATAATATATTATATATAGTAGTAGCAAAGTCAGCTTCATTAGCTGTGGAGAAAGAGAGCTTAGTATACATAAAAAAACGTTGATTAATTAGCTTTACTAGGTGAATACATGCGATACACCCGGGATGTTCTACATATATATGGTATATATAATTGAGACTTATGTTGCGAAGTCTAGCTACAATGATATATTAATATAAAATGAACATTCAAAAGAATAACTGTAAAAAAATGTGGATTAATATCTGTGTAACCCAAACAAAAATTTCATTACATGTCTCTAGTGTATTACTTTGACAAAAAATGTTGCACACTTTTCAGTCCTTGACATAAATATCTTAAAAATCCTCAAGACCATTATATATAAAATTGCTAATAATGTAAATATCTTAAAAATCCTCATGACCATTACTGCAGCAGTAGTAACAAGATTCATCTACTGTATATGAGCTAGATTATATATATACGCGCTTTCATTGACAAAGTTCTATAGTAAACATAGAGCTTCAAGCATGTAACGTGTCTGAAGCAAACTCATAAGTATCCAAAATCTCAAAATTTGGTGGCTTGGACGCGATTTGTTCTTTATTTGGGAAATTGAGAGAAGGTTAATTACATTTTGACAAATATTTTCCTTTGATGTTGTAGGGTTTTGGTACTTGTGTTTGTGTATGTTCTGCCACATTTTGACCATACCATGTTGTTATTTAAAGAGAGGAGTCATATTAGTAACCCTCTTTAGTCTTTTAATTTCCTCTGCTTTCAAGATCATGTGTTTGCAAAAACATGGTATGCAATCATTTTTCTTGTTTTTTTTTTCATGTGAACAGAAAGCAATTGCATCAAGCATAACAATAATAAGTTCTTTTCAGCTAATTAGCAATGCTAAAAGAGAGTTTCCAAGTAAAAAAAGTCCAATTGCATTTGGCTGTTTCAAATTAATATTGGAAGAGCCGAAGAGCCTATCAAGAAACCAGATAACTTATTATAATAATGGTCGACATACGAACTAATGAACGAAGATGATAATAAATGAAAACTGTTAATACATATATATAGATTATGCTTTGTAAATGGACTAACTAATCAAATATGATTGCCTCGTGGTGTAGCCTACTTGATTTTCACTGAGCTTGGAACATAAGGGCATACAAGCTGTACTAGGAAACCATGTTTGTCTGTAGATTCTCCAAGATCCACTTTTTTTAGATATCCATCCTCTCCAATGACACAAGCTACCCAGCGCTTCGGCGTCTCTTTGTCTTTAGCAAAAGCTACGACGACTTTCTTCCTCACGTCAACAAAAAAATTCCCATGTTCAAATGGGAAAGTAAGAAGTGTTGTCATATTCTTTGTTACAAACAACTTGCTCCACGACACCTCTCCGGGCTCAATCTTACTACTAATCCATATCTCCATACGTAATGTATCATATTGCTGACGTAACACTGCAAGATGCTTTTCTCTAACACTAGATAGGGCCACTCTATCGCCAATACTAGAGCGAAACGGTAGACGTATCCGCGGTCCAAATCTCTCCGTTGTAAAATCAAAACAGAGTAAAAAGAAATCAGGGCTGTCTCTTACTCGTTCTATGAATCTTACAAATCTTTCTTGTCCTTCAAATCTTTCTTGTCCTCGAAACCAGTTAGTATCCATTCTAACAAGCCAGTAAGTATTTCCCTTGAGAGACACGTCATGTCCATAAAACCGCATGTCCCTGTTGGGAGTGGCATCAATATCCTTCCATGAATCAGACTTAAAATTGTAGATTTGATACACACGATGTCTTTCGTCACAGATTCCATAATCATCTACAGATCTCGACATCGTTTCCATAGATCTCAAGATTTTGTGGTAACGACGACGCGAGTTCTCCTTCTTCTCGTATCCCAAAGTGTACATGTCCCTGCGCCTGCAGTCGCCTCCGTGATCAATGGGTTGGATCCACCTTGTTTGTCCACGATAAGGGTTCAATACCACAAGCCTCGAGTTTTCTTCTTTGGTGGTGCATAACAACAAACCACTACAGTGGAAGACGCTAGATATATCAACTCCATCTACATTGTTTAGGCTAATAAATTTACCTTTTCGGTTTATAAATGACTCAACGTTGTTGTTATTGTGAATTCCACGGAGATTAACACTCATTAGATAAATACTAGAATCGATCATCGTGATTGCCATAAACTCTTTTTTCTTCGTTGCTGCTCTTGACTTACGAATGTGCTTCTTTGTGAAGCTCCGAGTTTTGAATAAACTGTTCCAGTTTTTGCAAGTAGTTCGCACTGATCTAAGAGATGTTAACGGAACCCTAGAGATCACTTCCTCTACCATATCTTGTGGAAGATCGGAAATCGCCGTTGTTGAGTCCATCATCTCCAAGTTAATTAGGTCAAAGCTTCGACAACTCTTTTCGTACCTTCCGGCTATAAATAGTGAATACGCCTGGCTGCAGACTGCAGTTAAAGACATAGAAACCTAATGGGCTAAGAGTGGGCTTGAGAATCTTAGTGGGCTTCTTAATGTGTGACGAAGACATGAATTTCATCGACATCAAACAGCAAAAACATTGATAACCATTATGGATGAGAGTTTTTGTTTAACCAGTTTAAATTCTGTCTTACGTTACATAATAGGGAATTGCTCAGCTCAATGATATATGTAATTATGTAAACGCATTTCCAAGAACACCAGCCTATATAGTATATAGTAGTAAAGTCAGCTTGATTAGCTATGGAGAAAGAGAGCTTATTTAGTAATTAAATTATGTCTTATGTTGATTAATTAATTAACTTTACTAGGTGAAATACATGCGCTACGTCATAGGTCTTTCTATATATAGGGTGTATATAATTTGAGATTTATGTTGCGAATGCTAGCTACAATGCTATAATATAAAATCAACATTCAAAAGAATAACTGTCAAGAAAAATGTGGATACATTGGTAATTTTTTCTCAGTATCATTAGCCCAAATATAATTTTTTAATGGATCAAACCTCACAATTGGGCCTGATCCGTATCAGTGGACTGATACTTCTGATACTCAGTATCGGGTGACGTGGCAGAAGGTCATTGGACAATATTTTTTTGGTGAAAACAGAGAAAAAAAAATTATTTGCTCTTTCTCTTCTCTCCTTTTCACTGCGTCTTGACCCGATTCTTCTTCAATGGAAGCGAAAATCATCCTCCAAATTCAAATCCCTTGGAACCCTAATCGCAAATCGGAGGCGCTTAGTGATCGTAGAAATTGGTTCGGAGCTGACTGGAAGCGAGAAGTTGTTTGTATATGTTTGTGTGAGGATTGAGATGGATATGGATCTTGCCGACGACGACGAAGCTGACTCGGCTCCTAATCTGAAGATCGGCGAGGAAAAGGAGATCGGAAAATCAGGATTGAAGAAGAAACTTGTTAAGGAAGGTGAAAAATGGGATACGCCTGAGAATGGAGACGAAGTTGAAGGTAATTCGAAATCACTTAGTCTGATCTGATGATATATGTGTGATCAGGTTCTGAGACTGTCTTCTCTTGCAGTGCATTACACGGGAACTTTGTTAGATGGTACGAAGTTTGATTCGAGCCGTGACAGAGGAACTCCTTTCAAATTCACTCTTGGCTAAGGTAATTTTTGTATTTTGGAAGATATTTGCTATCTTCTGCTTTTAGATTAAGGTTTTGGTTCAATTTCTACGATCACTAAGGCTTGTTTGTGTGAGGATTGTGGTTGATTCTCCTGTGATCGTAGAACTTGGTTCGGAGCTTACCGATCTACGTCGGAGTCGCTTCTCTTTTAGCTGTTCTCTTCAATCGGACTGTCTCCGGTATCGCTCCAGTGGCCGATGCTAGCAGGTAATTTGTAGTTCACAGTCTAGAGCAGATCTATTGGCTTCAAACAGAGACTTATGTGAGAGGGATGCAATAACTCGACTGTAAGGTCCACTTACCACCCAAGAAACGAGCATTTCGTTGTGGATTTCGAGCAGCTTCAAAGCCAATTCAATGTAAAATTTTCAATCTTTTTATCTTCTCTTCTGATTTTTCACATAATGTTATTTTGCTTATTTTCCAACTTCTTTATACAGTAGTATATTATAGGACCCAGATCAATCCCAATGAGCGCCTTTTTCAAACAGGCAGTGTATGGTTTGGAAGATTTGATTGATGATGATGATGATGATGAACAATCTCAGGAGTTTCAGACTCAACCTGATTAACAGGATATGACCATTGAGGAAGAAGACAAGTTACTTGATGCATCGTTTTCCAAGGATGGAGCTTCAATAGCTAATCGTCTCTCTAATGCTATTACTTGTATCAAGAAACGTGAAGATAAAGGTGTGAAGATTATTGTCTGCTTTGTATGGTTTAAGTGGCTAACTATATCATGATAGATGGTTATCTTTTGCGTGTTGAAAAAGGTTCAGCTTTTGTTGCAGAAACTACTTCAATGTCCATGTCTGAAGCCTCTGACTATTTTAAAGAGTAAACTTCTCTTTCTTTTTTTTCCCTGTCCTTGTATTATCAGTCTTTTGTCTCTGATATAACTACCAAACTGTGCAGTCTTGGAAAGCTTATGAGTGAATACAGACATGGGAAATTGCCTAAAGCTCTTAACAAAATTATTACCAAATGGGAAAACTGGATTAGTTTATTGAAGTTGACTTAATAACTGGATTTGCGTACATTGTGTAGAATTTGCTGCATCAATTTAGTTGCATCAATTTATATATTTATTTTCGATTTTGTAAATATTTTTTTTTTATTATTGGTGATACCGATACCGATCTCACCAATGGAAACAGATTAATTATCAGTATCATAAAAAATCTCAAACAATAAACAAATATTAAAATTAATACTAAAAAATTGTTGATGATACTCTATGAGTATCAACTATGTGCATGCTCTTAACACGTCTCTGTAACCCCATCAGAAATTTCATTATATGTCTCTTCTCTAGTCAAGTGTATACTTTGAAAAAATACTCCACGATATTTTTTTTCATGGTTCAATGTTAAAACATGTTGCACACTTTTCAGTCCTAAAAATCCTAAAAATCCTCAAGACCATTAAATATATTTGCTAATAATGTAAATATCCTATAAATCCTGAAGACCATTAAATATATTTGCCAACATCCTCAAGATTATAGACCAATCACATTTTCAAACTAAACAAATTACATTTTTCACTAAAAGACTAATCCTATCAAAAACAAAAGATTTAATTTTCCCAAAATGTTAAAAACTTAGAGACCCCCGAAAGATCACAACATCATGCAGTAGTAACATGATTCATCTACTGTATATGGGATTATATATATACGCTTTCATTGACAAAGTTCTATAGTAACTTAGTAAGCATTCAGCTTCAAGCATGTGACGTGTATGAAGCAAACTCATAGGTATCCATGAATTTCAATGACTAACCTTAACAAACTTCCATGAATTAGAGTCAAGATTGTAGATCTCAAACTCATAAAATAGTTTATTTCAATCATATCGTAAGTATCCAAAAATCTCAAAATTTGGTGGCTTGGACGCGATTTGTTCTTTATTTGGGAAATTGAGAGAAGGCTAATTACATTTTGACAAATATTTTCCGTCGATGTTGTAGGGTTTTGGTTCATGGGTATATTCTGCCACATTTTGACTATACCATGTTGATTTGAAGAGAGGAGTCATATTGATTCTAGTAAGCCTCTGTAGTTTTTTCGTCTGCTTTCAAGCTCATGTATTGCAAAACATGGTATATATGAAATCATTTTTTTTTTTTTTTTTCACGTGAAACCGAGAGCAATTGCATCATGCATAACAATTAGCAGTGCTAAAAGAGAGTTTCCAAGTAAAAAGTCCAAGAAGCATTTTGGACGGTTTCAAATAAATATTGGAAGAGCCAACGAGACAGTGTTGAGAAACCAGATAACAGATTAATTACACTAATGTTCCACATATGAATTAATGAACGAAGTTTACCAAAAATAAAACAGTAAAAAACATAGATAGATTATGCTTTGCACTGAGCTTACTTGATTTGCACTGAGCTTGGAACATATGAGCACACAAGTGGGCAACCATTTTTGTCTGTAGATTCTCCAAAAACTACTGTTTCAAAATACCCATCTTCTCCATAACAATAAGCTACGTTGCGCATCTTCGTCTCTTTGTCTTTAGCAAAAACCATAACAACTTTCTTCTCCTCGTCAACAAAAAAACTCTCATGTTGATCATAAGTAAGAAGTGTTTTCTTATCCACCACTAAGAACAACATGCTCCAGGACGCCGCTTCAGGCTCAATGTTAGACGTAATCCATATCTCCATCTGTAATGTACCCTTGCGCTGAAATAACACAGCAAGCTGCTCATCTCTAACACTAGATAGAGTCACACTATCGACAATACTAGGGTGAAACGGTAGACTAAGACGCGGTCCAAATCTCTCAGTTGTAAAATCAAAACAAATTAAAAAAAACTCACGGTTCTCTATTGCCGAATTTTGGCGCCTTCGAGCACAACAAAGACACCCGCCGGAGTAAGTAATACTAGTATTATTTTTAGCAAGCCAGTAAGTATTTCCCTTGAGAGACACGCCACATTTATAAAACCGCATGTTCCCCTTGGCAGTGAGAGTAATATCCTTCCATGAATTAGAGTTAAAATTGTAGATTTCAAACTTAAAACTTCTGAATTCCCCCCTATATCCATTACCTACAAATCCCAAGATTTTTTCAATAGATCTCAAGATTTTGAGGCTACGATGCGAGTTCTTATCCTTCTTCTCGTATCCCAGAGCGAACGAGTACCTGATGAAACCGAAGTCGTCACGATAAGTAGTTTCGATCCACCTTGTTTTCCCACGATAAGGGTTCCAAACCACAAGCCTCGGTGTTTTATCATTGGTGGTGCATAACAACAAACCGCTACAGTGGAAGACGTTTGATATATCAACTCCACCATCTACATCGTTTAGGCTAATCAGTTTACCTTTTCGGTTTATAGCGTTGTAGTCATCGTCCTTGTGAATTCCAACACTAATTAGGTAGACACTAGAATCCATCATCATGATCGCCAGAAACTCTTTCTTCTTCGTTGCTGATCTTGATTTACGGATGTGCTTCTTTGTAAAGCTCCGATGTTTGGATAAATTGTTCCACTTTTTGCAAGTAGTTCGCACTGCTCTAAGAGATGTCAACGGAACACTAGAGAGCACTTCCTCTACCACATCTTGTGGAAGATCGGACATCGCCGTTGTTGAATCTCTCATCTCCAAGTTAGGTCAAAGCTTCGACAACTCTTTTCGTACCTTCCGGCTTTAAATAGTGAACACGTCTCGTTGAAGACATAAAAACCTGATGGGCCAATACTGGGCTTGTGAATCTTAGTGGGCTTCTTAATGTGTGCCAAGACATTAGTGTAGAAGATATTATTGATCTAGTGATGGACTTCATCGACATCAACAGCAAAAACATTGATGCATTTGACTGTTTCAAACAAACGTTAGAAGAGCATACGAGAGATCACATATAGTAATTTCATTCACTATTCACTGGAAATGTAAGGGTGAGGAAAGCAGAGAAACCAAATAAATGATAACAATGGTGGTTCTCAATTTCAAGAAACAAAATAAAAATCATAGATGGCAAAAAGAAAACAGGCTATGTAAAATGGGCTAATTATTCATAATCTTGTTCCCTTGTGGTGCAGCTTGCTAGATTTGCACTGAGCTTGGAACGTAAGACCATGTGCAATGGTAAATGAGTGTCCCGTCCCTTATTTAAAAAAAAAAAAACAAGTAACCAATCGCGGGCCGCCACGTATCAGTGGGGCCCGCGAATAGTGAAGGACGAGAAAGAGGGACGTCCCAAATAAAGAAACGTCGCATGGTTTTGGAGCAAAGGTCGCATGGTTTTGGAGTGGGGCCCAGCGTGGGACTTTGTCAAGGAACGTTGCTGCAAGTGCTCTAAGAGCACATAAATGGGGAACAAGTTTCATATGTAGATTCTCCAAGATCTACTTTTCTGAAATACCCTTCTTTTCCAATGATGTTAGCTACGTTGCGAGTGGAGTAATATTTGTTCTCGTCTTTATCAAGAACCATCACGACCTTCTTCTTCTCGTCAACGAGGAAACTCTCAGGGTCAATATAAAACTCAAAATCAGGGAGTAGTTTCATATCGACCGCTAAGATCAACTTCCTCCACAAGACTGCATTGGGCTCAATCTTGCTACTAATCCATATCTTCACGGTAGATACACCATAAGACTGAAACAACACTGCAAGTTGCTCATCTCTAACACTAGATAGAGTCACATAATCTCCATTAGAAGAGTGAAAAGGTAGAGGCAGACGCGGTCCAAATCTCTCCCTTGTAAAATCAAAACAGATTAAGAAACCAGCCATATCTGACATCCCTCTTCCGGGTCCTAGTGCAATCTTCTCTTGAGCAAACCAGTAAGTATTCCCCTTGAGAGACAAGCCATGGTGATTAAACTCTACCTCACATTCGGGAGTGAGATCAACAACCTTCCATGAATCAGAGTCTAAGTCGTAGATTTCAAACTCACGAATTTGGTCCTGTGCTCTGTCGTCCTCGTAATTATCCATAATCTCAAGATTTTGTTGCTACGACACGACTTGTTCTTCTCTTCGTATCCTAAAGCGTACCTGTAAAATCCGTAGAAAGAATTTCTAGGTTCAAATCCGATACACTTTGTTTGCCCAGAATAAGGGTTCCAAACCACAAGCCTCCTAGATATGTCGTTGGTGATGCATAACAATAAACCGTCGCAGTGAAAGATTCTAGATATGTCGACACGATCATCAACGTCTAGGCTCATAAGTTTACCTATACACTCTATAGATGGATCGAGGAGATTGACGCTGAATAAACAAACTCTATGTTCCAGCATCATGATCATCTGAAAATCCTCCTTGTGCGTCTTCTTTGCTTCACTGAGGTGCTTCTTTGTGAAGCTCTCATATTTCGATAAAGTATTCCACTTCTTGCAAGTAAATCTCGCTGCTCTCATAGATGTCATCGGAAGCCTAGAGAGCACGTTCTCTGTCAAATCCCGTGGAAGATCGGAAATCTTAGTCATTGTTTTTAACAAGGATCGAAATCTCTAATGAAAATAACCCTTTAGAATCTCTTCTCTTTCCCTCTGATTTTCTACCAAGTCCTACGAAGATCGGACATCATCTTCACTTTTTTAAGGATCTCGAATCTGTTACACCAATAACCTTAAAAAAAAAAACACCTATTCCTTTGCCGTCGATTTATTTATTCCGGCTATATATGTAACAGCAATTGAAGACACAAACTCGATGGGCTAAACCTGGGCTTCAGTAATCAAGTCGGCCTCTTAATGTGGGACCAATTCATATTTAGATTTTGATCGTATAGGAAAAACAATGTGTAGAACATTAGAGAGTTGTGTAGTTAAATTTCAAATTTCTTTTCTGTCTTGTTATGCATAAAAATGGTTACAGTAACCTGTTTTTCTAGTTATCCTCGTAAAGTTTTTCATATGCTCGAAAAACATAGGGTTTGATTGGTGAACTAAAAAAGAGCATTACAAATTGTACAGCTTTTATTTTTAC